CGGCAAAGGCATAGCTAATTTTTCATACCTCCTGCATCAAAGAATCCTAATGTCTCTACACTATTATCAGAAGACTTCTCCAGGAAAGAAGTCAACTCCACAGCCATGCTGTGGGCTATACACCAAATTTCATACTTCGAGACCATCCTAAATCACTTCAGAGACAACCTTGAAATCTCCCCGAAACACCAAAGGCGGATGTACAAGAAGGTAAAAGGTAGCTGGGCCTTCCACCTGTAATCGAAGACTGGAAAGATTCCTGTTAAACATGTAGAGTCTATTAGGTTTTTCTTTTTCGAAGTAGGAAATATGGAAAAAACGTGCAGTGTCCTCGTCGGTGCTCGAACTCCGGACCTCACAATTCCCAGTTGGACGTGCTTCTTACCATATACCAAGAAGGTATATGGTAAGAAGGGACAAAATATTTTTAAAGATTTCGCTCGTACATGTACAATAATATTTTTATAACTAAAACATTATTTAATTCCTAACATTTACAGGGTGTATTAGAGTATATCCTGTCATGCTGCCAAACTTTCACATTTGGTACCAAGTTAAATTGCTTCGTATCATGTTTTATTGTATAGCGTTAATGTGACTCGTTAAAAATAAAATTATTTGAATTAGGTACAACATTTTCATTTTATCTTGAGAAAGTTGTAAAGTATTTTCCCGCCTTCTTAGCATGCTTTCGTGGTGTAGTGGTCAACAGGCTCGGTGCTTATTCGAGAAGTCCGTGGTTTGAGTCCCGGCGAGGGCATCGCTCATTTTTCATTTCTCCTGCTTTTAAAAAATATCTTATGTCTCTACAAGGTTTTTGTAACATTTCATGCATTACACAAATTTCGCAAATATGTAAAATCTTTGATGCTTAAAATACTTTGTTTATGTGATTCCCAGCTTTATTAATAGCTTGCACAGGCTTAACTGTATTGTACTAAATAAACAAACAAAAGTACTGAGAACACTTTTCAGAAATAAGTTAATAAAATATTTATATGTACTGAAGTTTTTCTTTTACATTTATATATCCCGCAGATCATGCAAGAAAATTTTACAATGAAAGTAAGCATCCATTTGATGACACGGAGAATTCAAAATATAAAAGTAGTCCGTATAAAAGTCTTGAATACAAGCAAAGGAATTTAGTCATAAAGAGTGAAAGACAGCTAATAAAAGTTCCATCTTAGCCCAAGATAACCTTGCTTTAATTTAAAACAAAACGAAAGGCCGAATAAACAGGAAATTGCATCCTTTCTCTCGAATAATGCCTAAAAAAATCTGGAATGCAATTTAATTAAGTTTCTATAGATTTATTTACAAGAACGTGATTAAACTTTTTTTAATCGTGAAGAACGTAAAAGAATGCAAGCGTAGATTCAATACCACGTAAAAGCAATCCGAAAGAAATATGATAAATTTAATCATTATAGGCAGTCTTAATAATATGTACGGGGAAGATATCAAACTAGAAATTTAATAAAGATTAAATTTATGCTCACGTATGTTATTGTAACATACAAGTGAACCTGGTTTTCATGTAATTTTGTTTTTTGAATTCACGATAGAGAAAATAAAATTACCGTTTCGTCCGAAATTGGTTTCTGAACATAATTTGCTAACTTTAATTTGCAGATAATTACTTTCAAATTAATCTAGTTCTAAATTTGAAACATTTTACATTTATTTAAATAATATTTTCCTGAAATAATTGTAGAAACTAATAAGTTACCATAAACATGGAGATGAAACCTTTGATGTCTTCCGTACAGTTTCATCCCGAGGCAATCTGAGGAGGACATATAAGATATTTTTAAGTAATTTAGCTAGTTTCAAGCTTTTAAAACTCCAGAGAAAGGCAGATATTTTTGAGTAAGTAATTACGGTAGAGAAACGTTACAAAGACAAAGCTGGCTGTAGTAAACTACAAGTGATACACATTTCATACTGAATGCAGGTAGCTCGCAGACTTCCTAATTAATTTAAGAGCGCCCTAAGAGTCTTTAGTCAAAATAAGTATGTATTAAATATTGGAAAACTATATACAGTAAAGTACTGGAGAAACATGAAAACAGTTTGCCATTGTTTAGTTTTAGAATGAGAGCACTGAACTTGAGTTCGTTATCGCTAATTTATTAAAGTGAAAAAAAAAGCTCTTCGCTACGATTATTATCTTCCCGATTGTTATTTATTTTTTAGCTATTCTTTCATGGAGTCAGCAATATCTTAATAAGCTAACCTGAACGCAAACAGTTAGGTAAAAAAGATTGGATAAATGCTTTTATAAAAATGAGTAAATGTTAATGTCAAATACATATGTACAATGTATTTAAAAGTACACTAATATCCATAACATGCATAAATTTATCTTAGAGAAATAAATTATTTTGATAAGCAGATTAAATCAAATTTGATTAAACTTTGAACATATCACTGGACTGATTACTTGCTAGCATGATACCTTTAGGGTACACTGAAGATAACATGAATACGTATTAGAGAAACATGAAAACAGTTTACCATTGATTAGTTTTAGAATGAGAGCTCTGAACTTGAGTTCGTTATCGCTAATTTATGAACGCGAAAAAAAAGCTCTTAGCTTAAATTAAAAAATATATATTATTAGACATTATAAAATATATATTATCTATATTCACTTAGTCCAGTCGGGAAACTATAGATTTACTGAAATGAGAAAGTTCTAAAAAAGCTTTGTTTAAAAGTATTGATACTGAAAGTTTGTTTTTGATTTTTTGTTTATTATATACTTCAAATGGTAGAGAGTACAAACTTCTTAACGCATTGGATGCATTATAGGTAATAGCTTTTAGAAAAGACCGAAATTTCCAAATAGAAGAATAATTATTCAACATTCATTGAGTTCATGAAAATATAACATCTTCGTAGTAACTACAATAAAGTGGAACAGCTAGATTTTAGATTTCCATATATCACATATGTTTGCATTAGTTACTTCTTTCCATTTGAAATCTGAAAAAAATGTCTTGCACGTTATTTTGGTAGTAACTCTCTTTTTGAGCAAGTTACCTGGGGTACCGTAGTATAAGTAATTTCACGTTGAGCTAATTATTGAAATAGTATACAGCAGCAAATAATTATTTTTCAAATTTCTGCACTATCTTAATGCTAAGTCCCTTTGAAAAGATAAAACTTAATTTAAGTTACTTGTATATCAGAAACTAATTTTTGAAACACGTGTTCATCAGTAGGTTTTGATGACGATGTTATTTTCTGCCATGGAATAAATACCTTCATTATATAATGCATGTTTAATGGAAATTGTAAACTCTCCATATAAATCTATAAATAATGCGATTATTAATTACCTATAATTTATTTTATTTGAAAATTTATAAGGTATTTCTCCCGCCTTCTTGGCATGCACGCTGGGCGCGTATTCCAGAGGGTCGCGGTTCGATTCCCGGAGAAGGCGTTGCTAATTTTTCATCACTCCCAGTTTAAAAATTAAAAATATCCTAATGTCTCTACAAGTTACACACACACACACACACACACACACATATATATATATAATAAATGTTTTCATAAAATCGTTTAGGTTTTGGAACTGAATGAAATATTTTTGATCGTATTAAATTTTTAAGTAAGAAGATAATTCATGACGTTTGAGTAAAAGAGTCGTTATTATTGACAATTCTGCAGGGTATATGCATAACTACGGGAAATTTGAAAATCTTAAGCAAAGGCATCAGAAATGGAAAAGCATTATTTGCCTGCAGAATTTCTATATTCTTTTTATGGTATATTAAGTAATTTTAATGTCAACTTTCGGCGACAGATGTAATAGTTGCATGTAAAGTGATGTAATTATATAGCTTAACCATTCATGAAGTGCGTAGGAATCAGCGGTACATTTGGTTTTGCATCTTAAACATAGGAAACATTGCGAATATTGTAGTCTGAATTTTAAAGATTATCTGCTATAACCCGCGTAGAACTTTACGACATGTGCTTTCATTTTCTCATTTCCCATAACTATATCAGCGTAATTTTGTCCATATCTTCATCTGAATAATTCAGAAATTTTATACAAAACTTCATTAAATGAACACGAAGTTGCATCATATAAGTATAATCATAATTTTATGAGTAAGAAATTAAAGAAATAGGCAGTTTTAAATTTGTCGCCAAAAGAGAAACTAAAGAAAAAAATAATTTTTTAATTTAATGGTAAATAGTTTTTTCGAAAATGGTATAATAAACGTCTAAATCATAAACAGGCAACTTTTAATTCTTATCAAATATTTTTGTGCTTCCTTTAGGAAACATTCAGTTCTTAAAAAGAATTTCATTTTTCCTTGTCAAATAACCTCATTTCATTTGATGGCCTAGCAGTTCAACTCTTTTAGTTCTTTTCAGCTTTTGCGAAAGCATATTTTTACTTTCGAATGAAAACGAGCTTAGAAAAATTATCAAATGTTTGCTCGACTTTCAGTAAAGCTTTGTTTCCATTTCAAAGTAAATTTCTTAATTAGTTACGTTTTTTACATACGAAAGCGGTAGCTGAAGTAAGAAATGTGACTCAGTCTACGCAAACTAGAAGAAGTATGGGTTAGTAATAGTTTCCCTTTAAATTGTAGAATGAACTTTAAAATCTACTGTGCTGCAAGTAAATCTACTGTACTGCAAGTAAAAGTAAAGCATCCAGATGCTTTTCTTTTCTTGGATAAAGGTGGGTATAGAGCTTTTAGTCCTACTATCATTTATGCAAGACTGAATAAATCTAAAACAGAAATCAGCAGGAATTAGCTGAGCATTGTAATACTTCAAATTATATGATTTATTTTTCATTGCAATCCACCAAGATCATTAAACAAAGTAAAAGACTTTTACAATTTAAGTGTTAAAATGATAAGTTCATTTTGTTATTCATATATTAATATCAATTAATGTATATTGCATTTATGTGGTACGTTAAAATACTAAATTCCAAAATAAAAGCAATTACAAATACTTACCTTTACTACTATAATCGTCAACTAGTATAATTTCTTCTATGAGTTCTTGGGGGGATCGATTAACAACACTCGTTAGTGTCCTTAGCAGTGTCGTCCAGTGCTCATTATGAAATGGTATGACGATACTGACCTTTGGTAGCTTTGACAAATATTCTTTCACTTTGCAGCTAAAAGAATTAAAAAGTTAAGTGTACTTTGAGACAAATGTTTAAAATTATTACCTAAACATACGCCATTTGCTCAGATTTTGAGAAGGAATTACGTATGCTGGATGGTTTAGTTTATTGAGAATATAACAAAGCACGCTAGAACTATCAGACTAAAGGAAGGGATGCCTGCGTGGATAATTTTCTAAAGGAAACTAGCTTTTATACATTTACACAGGAGGAAAGCCACGAAAGGACCCGGACAGCCAGCTCATTTGTCTGGAATCAAATCCAGGTCGGAATTGCCAGTGTTCAGCGACTTTACCGCTCGGCCTTTGGTGGGCGAATTAAGTATGGTATTTTGATGGATTAATATCACACTTGTATTTTAGAAGAGAAAAAATTTCAATCAGAACAGGTCTTTTATTTCCAAACTTTTGTACCTTACGTTAACATCGCATTTAACAATAAATGTCTTTTACGACTCCACGACATAAAATTGGTGAAGGATGTTGCATTAAATTAACAAAAATTAAGCGTATGGAATAATTTTCATTTTCATATTTGAATTTTTAAGAGGAATATTGAAATGTTTAAGAGGAATTTCCAATTCAGACCTGAACGGCTGTACTAATTTTGTGTTTTCAAATGAGGTGAATTTCGGCTGAAACTTTGTGGAACTTCGGCTGAAAAACGCTATTTATGTGTAAGAAAAATTAGCCTTTGAAGTAAGAAATCAAAAAACGTATAAAGCCATAAATGACTAAACATGTAGTATAAAATTCATTAAGACTCAAAAATCCCTTTCAGATCCCTTTAAGACTTAAAAATCAATTTCAGAAACAAATACAGAACTAAATCCTCGATTTCAGACGCTTAAGAAACGAAATGTGTCAGCATCAGACCTTTCACCAGATTTTGAAACATTAAATAGTAACTTCTGACTTCTAAGCATTAAAATAAGCCATTTAGTAAGAAAATCATTGTAAAAATTCTATCCTTTTTTATTTTTAAAGTTGAAATTAATTTCGTAAGATTTCAAATAATTCCTTTCGGAAGACATATATCACAGTGATTCTTATTTTGTTGAGTACAATTATTACTTATCTCGAGTTCTGGAAAGGACAAGTACATAAATAATTAAAGGCGCAGCGTAGGTTGCCTCTGTTATTAGTTAGAGACCAGAGGCACCAATATCTGCCCAGCCCCCATTTCATTTTTGATCAAAAACACCTCAAAAGGAGTAATTGATAGATTTCGTAACTCTTTTTTCTTTCCTTAGCATTCTTATGAGAATCGGTGAATCTGATTGGTTTGGTTTGGTTTATTTAATTATGGCAAATCACACTAGGGCTATCTGCCAAAGGGGAGGGATGCCTTCGTGGAGGACTTTCTAAAGGAAACTGGCTCGTATACACGTTACACATGGGGAAAACCACGAAAACCTCCGTTCGCGGGATTCGAACCTCGGACTGAACTACCAGTGTTCAGCGACTTTACCGCTCGGCGGCTGGCGGGCCCGGTGAATCTGATTGAGTAGAAGTAATATTGAACAGTACCAGGCATTTGCAAATTTTTAGTGACGTACAGATGTTCGAATGGTTAAGAACGGTGAGCGGAGGTAGTTCGACCCAGATTCACTTTCAGCGAACAGGCTGATCGCACGAGTTTTTGGAGGTTTTTTTCCAATCTGTTTTTGTGAATATGAGCTGGTTTCCTTAAGAAAATTCTCCACGTAAGTATTCAGCGTACGTAAAACAATCAACCTGGCAGAAGTATTTGCATTTTACTATGCGTAAGCACGAACAGGTTTCTTTAGAAAGTCCTCCACAAAAGTATCTTTGCCTCTGGACAGATATCCTTCATGTGCTTAATCAATCAACAAAAACAAATGAAACTCTAAATATATGAAAGAAATTTTTAGATTAAAATTTATCACCAAATAATATGAGATAAAGAGGAAAATAAGCCTAATAGAGAAACGGTTCGAAAATGTGCAATAAATGTCTATTTCATAAACATAAAGAACTTTTAATTCTTAAAAAAAGTTATTATTCTTTAAAGAAAACATTCAGGTTAAAAAAAAAGTTTTATTTTGGCAGCTAGTCCAATAAATTTTATTTGATAACTTCTTACTATTTAAACCTTTACAGAGTTTGAAAATGTTTTTAAGTGAATACTGAAATTTTAGGACTGAAGTATTTTTTGGTCATTTCCACTGAAGCCGCCAAACATGATCAGTGGCAGTAATTACTAACACCAATTGGTTTCCATTACAATATAGTCTGCTAACGGAATAAATTTGAATGAAAGCCTTTCTTTAATATTCCGCAGACAATATCTGCCATTATGGATTCAATAACTGAAGGGCGACAAGCAAGAAAGTTTTTTTTTTTGCACAATGCAGTTGTCGTTAGGCAGCTTATTGTTGCAAAAAAAAGTGTAACCTTTCTTAACAATCCCCCAGACTTGCCAGATCTGTCAGATGCAAACTACTTTCCGTCCTCAAAGTGATGATGAAAAACGTAAAAGTTTAAAGCTGAGAAACGAAATGAAGGAACAGCATCAAATAGAATGCATCTGGGGGGGGGGACTAAGCAGTGATAAATTTCATTTAGGAATTTTGTGAAGTCATTCAAAAACTGTATATATTATCTACGTGTAAAATATATAACTTTCATGCTGTTTACAATGGGCTAAAAATTAAGGATGGGACATTCGAATCCTATAAATTCTGAAAAGGATTCGATTATTAAAACCTGAACTATACGTACTTTTTTTGTCATTGAAGGCTTTCAAATCTTAACCTAAAAATCCTTTAAACGTTCAAAAATGAATACAGTTGCTGGAATTGCAGTGCACCTTTGACCTTAATCGCTCTACTCTTAATTTTTGGGAGAGAATTTAGGATCGCTTGCTTACAGATAATCTCTGCTAATTATTGAAATAATTCCCTTCTTTCTACGTTTACTTTGAATTGAAAAAAAATTAAAAAAAAGTAGTCACTCACATTTTTTTTTTGTCAAACTATACAGAGAAAAAATTAAAAATTTTTTATTGCACTTCATTTATCATTATTCATTTTATCAAACTGCATTTGTACCGTTTTAAATATCAAGCTAAAGTGCGTAGTTATGCAAGATGGAAGCACACGAAGAGAATTTTTATTTGAGTTAAAAGTTTCAGTTTCCAATTATTACGTCATGAGCGCTGCGCAGGCCATGCCAAAAAGGAATGATTTAGAAATGTCTTAATCCAGAGAAGTTATTACGAATTTTAGAACACAGACCCCGTTAGTTTAAATTCTAATTTTGATTTACATATTTTTATCTTACATATATATTTATTTATTTAATACGTATATATATATATATAATTTAAGAGAGAAGAACAAAGACCTTTGTGGTCAAGGATTTTTGCGCATTGAGCTGCAAAAATTAGAAAACAAGGTAAAAAGAATATTCTACATGCTTTTGTTTAAAGGTCGGTGTGATACTGTTGTTCCGGTGAATAATTTTAACACGAGTTAAAATAAAGTGCAATGAAAAGTGTAAAAACAAGATAAATGAAGTTATCATGAGAGTTCTAACAAATAAAAAGCGAATTTAAAACTTAAATCAAATTGGAAGTAATATGTTGATTAAAGTTAACTATGTTAAAACATTTGAGTAGAAATACAAAAGTTATATAATACATAAGCAAAGTTACAAAAGGCGGTAAATGGTAAATTACCATAATTCGAATCTCATCATCAGGGCAAATGCATAATGATTTTCGAAGCCAGCTAATTCCATATCGCGTTTCGTCAAAACAGAAGAATCGAAACTGTACGTGAAATGTTTTGATTATTTAACTGATAAAATAACCCAGATAAAAACTTAAGTCTCAGTTTCTCTCTTTCATTTTCTCTGTTTTTATTTCTCTGTTTCACTTAAGTTTTTGAATTAAGAATTGTTTTAGAATTGTTTAAGAATGCGAGCTAAGCTCGTTGATGACCACAAATAGGTTTTAAAAGTTCTTCACAACCCCAATGTGAAACTTGTGGTGATTCTTGTGTACGACCAGACGACACTATTTTAAGGCATACAAAGACAGACAGTTGCTGTACAGTATTACTATCTATCTAATAATGCAATTTAAACTGTCTCTAACGTTGCGAAATAAGTAGCAATATTTTCTGGAGAATCCCTCTGTTATTTCCCAGAATAAAGCTCGCTTGCGTATAGCGAAATCAGCGGCTGATTTGTTTGATCGAAGCGGATCAAAAGCGCTTTGTCTTCATCTATCATATTACCCAGACTTAAGTATTTGAGACTATTGACTGAGATTTGATGCTATAGCTGAAGAAACCATTTCGTGGCATTACTTTCCCAATTGTTCTACAGAGTTTTCAAACAACATATTGCTCTGTTCAAATCAATAACAGAACAGATGTTACACCAAGTATATTACGACTTCCACATAGCTGGCAACAAATTGTTTGTAATGCTGATGATTGTATCGAAAGATTATATAAGTTGTATTTAGGTATCTCTTTTTCGTCTACAAAGAAATAGCTGCCACTATTGAAATTCCAATCCTCGGCTTTGAGCAAATGTATGTTATGTAGAATGTTGTGTGTAATTAGATAAATGCACCTGTCTGTCTGAAGTAGCTGATTAATATGTTTCTTTCATTACTTCTAGCTAATTTTGTGTAAAAATAATGCACTCTTCTTTCTGCTTTTCAAAACTTTTGTGGAAATAACTACAACTGTATTCGTTAATAACGATAATGGATTTTTATCTACAGATATATCAATCCAAAAATTTAGTTGAACAGAATTTTCTTGAAACGTATTTTATTAATTACAGGAAAGCCGTGGCCATATCTAATTATTTAAAACCATCGTTTTATAGGAAATACTTCATTAAGTCATTCATAACCCTAAGCCTGGTCTTAAAACAATCCCCAATAGCCTGTTCGTATTGAAATAAGATAATCAAAGAAGTCGAAAAATCCCCACTTTAGACACTTTCCTATCAATAAAATGATGACACAACACGGGCATCGTTGGTTGCTGAACAAATAAATGATATAAGTAAATTTTTGATTATTTCTGTGTTACTTCATCCATTTGTTGACACAACACATAAAGTGTTCAAACTATAAGCACAATTAAAAATGATCGTAACATTGATTTAAAAAATACATAATCGAGAATGACCAACACAGTACTTGCTGTGTTATTGGCTGTTTTGGAAGATATTGAATTGTATTAATTTTTAAAATTCATATTTTAAGCTCTTTGTTCACAATTTATCGTGTTGCTATCTTTAACTCAAGTAAATGTAACCTCACGTGATATATTTCGGTTATGTAAGTTAATGCATAATTATTCTATTTACTATTCTAGCATCGTAATTCTTTACAAAGCGCTTCCTTGTGAAATCCAGGTATTTGAAAATATATACTTCAGATTAAATACGTGATAAATTTATGATTCTTTAATTAATTCAAGCATTATTAATTATTTAGATTTATCCATAAATATCTAATAGTATTAAGAAAGAGGAAATCTTCCCACAATATCAAATATAATGTTATCTAAAAGAATAAAATAATGACAAAAGTTCCAAAAATTGTGTATAAAAGAAACTATTTTGCTATAGAATTGTGTTTTGTAATCTGCTTACCTTGGATGTCGAATATCAGGCAACGTCCTGTTGAGTGCTATAAAATCACTAACCAGAGCATTGAAGCCATTTACTTTGTACAGTTCGTCTTTTGTTCGTTCAAGTCCAGGAGGTAGCGAAAATGCGGTACCTTGTTCTCCAGGTCCAGGAGGAATACTCACATTCCTTGGTTCAAACCAGGATTTTCTCACTGGAGTCTAAAAAAATACATAAACACGAGGAATTTTAACACAAGAAACATATTTTAGAATTTGAGGTTTTCATGTTATACTACTAAACATGCAAATGCATCAATTTTAAAATAGCTGGGAAAAAAAAAAAAAAAAAAAAAAAAAAAAACTAAAACTCTCTTCTAAAATACAGTCAATTCAACTATTTTTCAAATTTCTAATTCAAGAGCTACTTGTTTTTACGGAGTACCTCATTAGATAAAATGTTTTAATGCTATTAATGAACCAGTTTTTAATTGACATTTACAAACTTCTAAATTTATAGTTTTTTTCTTTTTTATCCATACATATTCATAAAATTGAGAATCCATTGTAATAACACTTAGATTCTTTTATCAATAAAAATTTAGATGTATGGGCATTTCGTTTGAAATCTATATGGCACTATTTAAGGCAAGAAAGAATCAATAGTTTGTTGATTCACTTTAATTTTCTCAAATCCCATATATGGTATAGCTTTGCGGAGCCCATATATGTCATATTTCGACTGTCTAATAGTTTAATTTTTAGGACTATAGATATATTTCTAGAAACCTGGGAACTGGTCTGTATATTCAAACTAGATTATGTAAATAATATGCTAGTGATGAATTTCTTTTAATATTACATTCGTTAATATAACGTATTTGGGAAAACGTCAGTTCTTTCAAAGCTTATTATATATTACATTTATATATAAATTTATAAATCATATTATGTTATATACAACCAAGCTTTAATCTTATCCTTCTGTATAGTTTTGGACTGTTGCTAATATTTCTATTAGATTGTAAGTTTCGTAAATGCTTGAATGTTTTGCTTCCATGTAAAAAGAAGATCGAGAATTCAATAAATTTCTGAATACTCACCAGACTGCTGACACGAGTTTTATTGGTTCGTTATGTATAATTTAAATGGCACATCGTGCATTTTCATGAGTCAGATAATATATATGCTTATATTATTAAAAACTAAATAATAATGTTGTTGCAAGCGAAGGATGCACAAAAGAAACGAACACTTTATTGAAATAAATAACAGCTCACAACAAAGTAAACAGCTATGAATAACTTAAGGAGACAAGCAGAGGCAAGAAAATTCTTCTTAACACTCGAAGAATTTCACAGATCATCGAAACCATACACAGATGAAACTCTGGAAAAATATTTACTGTGCAAGAAACTAACACAATCACACAATTTTAAACTGATTCTTCAGCTAACTCTGAACTAATTAACTCTCATCTTCAGCGCACTGGGATTTATAGGGTTATACGGCACTTCTGGAAGCTTCGCGAACAATCGTTCCCAAAAGTTAAAAAAATGTGTTTTCGGGAAACAAATAGAAAGTTTTCCAAATTGGCGAGAAGTCGTCAAACATCTTCATTTGAGCGACAAACACTGCAGCCGAAGTCTATCACTAGAGTTTTTCTTTATACCTCGTCTTTTAATTCAGCTATTGTCGTAATTTAAACGCTGATAAGTTCAGAATTACAAGACATAATTTTTAAACATTCAATACATGGTCACAAATTCAATTAAATAAAAATGCTTGCAAAACTATTACATTAAATATGTAAAATAAGCAAACAAGTAAATAAATATAATGATACATAAGGGTATAAAAATACACAAAAACCGAAATACATTCTAAAAAGCATAAATGTTTACAAAAAATACAACAATGTTATTAAATAATGATATTGCAAATGTGCTAGTAGTATTGAAATATAAAGGTTTTAAATTTAATAAATTTTTCTAGTCTTTAATTGAAATTCGCCAGATGTATACCTATTGCTACTCAGACAAGGATTTGCGTCATATCTTTTGTTAGAATTTTCTGTTTAACGTTTCATTCACTTAGTTTATTCAATTTCCAGTGGACTTCCTAAAAATATATATACCTAATTTAATGCTGCATCGAAATTTTTGTGTTGTATGTCATAAAGCGAGAACATTTTAAAAGCAAGCACGTAATAATAGCAGGAGCTGAGAGTTTATTTCCTGTCCGAAAAGGAATAAACTACTTTAATAAGAAATAAAAAATGAAGCAGTATAAGGTTAAAAAGGTTTTTATCAGTGAAAATCTTATGGTGCTAGATATCGATCTGTACTCGAAACTCGTGTTCAGGTGCGAACAGTAAGTAACTTATAATGCTTTCACAAAAGCATTTCCTGCAACTATTTTTGCTACGTTCGACATCAACGGAAAAATGTGTATTGAAATTATTCATTTCTGATACATACATTTGGTCTGACATCCATGTACTGCCTTTTCTATCTGGTGGAATAAAATAAATCGTATTTATCATCTTTATCAAGTGCACTCCATTATTTTAAAAACATACATCACTTTCCTTTATGCTAGGCTGTTTTTCAGACGGCTTTGCGGGCAAACGAGGTAGCTGCATTGGCGTTTTCAATGTCCTCTCGTTCCCCGTGTAACGGGACTGGGATCCAATTCCTTTAAAATGTCTTCCACGAGAGCACCCCGTGCCCTCAGATGGCAGTCGTGGGCTTAGTATCAAATCAATTTACTAACCAATGTTTAAAGAGCAATTAGGTATTTTTTAACAACTCTCCATTGAGATGACATCCGACCTAAGACCAAATCTATTTGAAGTCAAGATATTTTGGACCTAGAAATACGAAACATCAGCTCACCGGAATTCGAACAATGGATTTACCAGTTGCTTCCTCACCACAAGAAGACGCTCGACGAAAGCGATAATTTCTTACATCTCTATCACTTAATGGGTGTTTGAGGAGAGACACGAGTGGCAGTCGATCAAATCCAAATGGTAAAAAATTATCATCCACCACGTTTTAGTTTGGGTGCCGCTATAGAGACCACTTAGAGCAGGATTTTCAGAGCACGAAACGGAAGAAACCAAGTGGAACTTCGCCGGAATTTGCGTCATCGACCATCCAACTACTAGCTGTACGTATCACTTAACACCACAAAAGCACGCAGGAAAAAATGAGATAATATCTCCCAAATTAGTCTTTCAAAGCTCCTTATTAACCATTATTATATGCCCATATAACAAATTTAAGTGACAACGTGTTAATCAAAAAGATAATCAAGCTTGATTGTGTAGCATAAATTCGCTTATCATGAATAGAACTGATGTCATCTTATTTACCTTTCTATGTACCAAGATTTATCTTTTATTATCATGATGCTAATTTTCGCACTAAGCTGCATTAAAACTTTCCTTTACAACTTTTTACTTTGGGATTTCCCAAGCGTTTTAAATGTGAATGCCTAATATTCTCTTTTTACTGTCTTTACATAGGAGTAAAACTTTTATGGTGAGAAGACTTAAACTCATTGAACTCAAAAACAAGGCATTTGTGGATTTTGTTAACAATAATCAGAACTAATAAAGATTACAGAATATACATTCGTATGTGAACTACCGTATAAATTTGACAGTTATCCTTTCTTTGAGGAAGGCGTCTGGATCCAGTATTTTACATTTACAATGTGTAACATGTGATTTTATAACGTTTCATTTCAGATGCCGCTAGTTTTCTTTTGCCTTTTTTTTTATTCTCCTTTGATTTTTAGATTTATCACATTCATTATAGAAAATATGAAAAGCAGGTAGATAGAGAGACGAAGGCGTTTCATGTAAGATATGCAGCTGTTGAAATGAATTATCAACGTTTTGATAACTTGCAGGAGAGTCCTTATCTGGCTTGCAGCAGTATACCGATTGAAAAAAATCTAAAGTGGACAACACATGAATTCCTTTTATGGCCCATAAAATTATACATATTTTTGGATGCACTTCATTTAAATTTATCTTCTTGAGTTATTCTAACTTATTTATCCGATCTCTCAATGCAAGTTGATTTATTCTCCTTTGACTTTTACATTTATCACATTCATTATAGAAAATATGAAAAGCAGGTAAGATAGAGAGACGAAGGCGTTGCATGTAAGATATACAGCTGTTGAAATTAATCCGAGTCAACTTTCTGATAACTTGCAGGAGAGTCCTTATCTGGCTTGCAGCAGTATAGCGATTGAAAAAAATCTGAAGCGAAAAAATAATGGACAACACATGAATTCCTTTTACGACCCATGAAATTATACATATTTTTGGATGCACTTCATTTAAATTTACTTCTTGAGTTATTCTAACTTATTTAGCCGATCTCTCAATGCAAGATGAAAATGACACCAAAAATTGCAAATTTTGAAATTAAATATCGTGGTCAATTTTTGTCGTATGGGAGTCAATTTTTTTTCTAATTTTATTTTTCTGTACTTTCCCAGGTATAAGTATAAGAACCAGGAGACCGCATTGCAAGACAGATTTCATTATTTGTCAAAAATTAATTAAAAAAAATTTTACATTGCCAAAACATGAATATTTTCGTCATTTAAAACACTTCTGTAATTGGAAGTGTATGATTTCGAACAACGACTGCGACGAAAATAAGGGTTGGGTAAGGACTTCTAAGCCGAGTATAGAGGGAGGGTATGTATACACACACACACACACACACACACTATATATATATATATATAGTAAAAGGGAAAAAAAAAGCATTAAACATCGATTGACCTAGTAGGTCAAAAATAGCGCATTTAGCTTCTGATGTTTAAAAATTCATTTTAATTTAAGAAAGGAGGTTTGAAACTTAGCAGAGTTCGTAAAAACATTTGTGTATCCTATCGAATTCCTGAAACTCCATGTAAAACAAGTGGCAAATCAAATTTAATGAATGCGATAAATCCTATCTAATGTACATAAAAATTGAAAAACGCGCGCATAGAAATAACAAAGTACTTGAAGCCTTTAACCAAGTTGATTAACTCATAGCATGCAAACACGTTTCGTCGAGCAAATACATTGAGTCTCCAAAGAGTATTAATTGTAATATATTTTCTTTTCAAACTAAAACTAACAAAAGTCTCAATAGTTCCCCCTCGATATATATATATATATATATATATATGTGTGTGTGTGTGTG